AAAAATTTAAAAAAAAAAAAAAAAAAAAAAAAAAAAAAAAGATTATGAATCCTACATTTTTACAAATTTACACTTTCACAACTTGAGACCTTTATGTTACCAAACAAAATGTATTTCATGCTACTTTGAACCAGTGCCATGCAGGGCAAGACGGAAATAAGTGGGTTGCTTGTATGATGCAAAATGACTCTCAAGGCAGTTTTCGACTAAAAAAACATAGGTGAGAAAAAGTCTCTGTCCCAGTACCTATTCTGCACATTACAAAGCAAAGTTTACAATAAAATTTCAACTAAACTCCACAAATTAGATAGACCCAAACCAAACTTACAAATAAGTCACACAAATTTCGTTTGTGGTAAAATCAAAAAAGACTTGAAACTACTCACTATCCATCCATTACAATAGGCTAATAGTCACACCACATCAATTCTCTATACCTCCAGGTGCTGATCTATAAATTTGTTTTTACCTAAACATTATTCCCAGTGCCCATGCTCTATTATGTTGATAATATATTATCCTATGTGCTATCCTCATTCTGTTTATAAATCAGCAATTGCTTTTCAGAAACTATATTAACTAAAAATTAATACATATGTACATTTGTGTATCTACACAAATATATATATGTATGTGCCTGTGTGTTGTGTGTGTAGGCACAGCTCAGACACAAAGGCAAAAGAAAAATTGTTATCTTTCTAGCTCTGTCCTGGCTGTTGTATTTTAAACTGTTTATAAAAAGATATAGTCTGAAACATTATTTAAATTTTTACAACTATAGTAAGCAATTTTAACAATGATTTTCTTTGCAAATTTTTATCTGAATGGAAAAAAAACTTTTCTTTGATTGTGTGCAATATGCTTATTGTTTTGCGTATCTGAAGTGCAAGGATTCATGCAACAGTAGAAGAAATGAGAATCTAAAAATTTTAGAAGTCAAAGATAGTGCATAAAAATGGCATTTGACAAAATTATTTAATGTTTATTTTAAGGTATTTTCCAGCACAATTTGGCACTTTAAATTTCAAAGCTCAAGCTCAATTAGGCCCTGAAAGGAAAGCATGCTATATAGCACTGTAAACAGCCTACTGCATTCATTTATTGTTCAGTTCACAGTCTCTGAATACAACACAATCTACCAACAGAGTCAGCTTTCATAATTCAGCAGTACAAAGTCTGCAAACACATGTAACCTAGATCCATATTTCCCAGTGACAGCATATGATAGCAGAATGTGAAGTATTAATGCTGGTGTCACTACAGTCCTACACTCTACTGCACTTTAAGAGAAAGCAGCTGCTGAGATGAAATGTGTGCCAACTGTCTGAAGACAGAAACATAAGAAACATTCCTTCTGTTACAAAGGGAGAGACACACACAAACAGACTTGCTTTTAGATGCAACAAGCACAAAGTTTCTTACTTTTGCCTTTTAAATTTCTCAAAAACACTCAGCAATTCTGCATAAGCAGAAAGATATGCATTTAAGAAAATCTCAACTTCCTTCTCATGAAAGTAAACCCAAGAAGACGTTATGATTTTGTATCTGCAAGTCAAAGGGTAGAAAAACCATCTCTTACAATTCACCCTAAATAGCCAATGAGAGCACACACCTATAGAAATATAATTGCTATCTATGGAACAGATAATATTGACCAGCTGAACATTTTCATACTAACAGCATATGGTCCTTAGGCCTTCCTATGAATATTTTCTTTGGCATCTTCATAAAAATATTATCTTGAAATAATCTTATGAAATCTTTGTTCTAACATATTTACATAGAAACCAGGCTGTCCCTTTGCAAACCAAGAACCTATGAATTTCAGCAACCCCCTTCCTAATGGGTGAACTCTATACATCTGAAAGTGGCATTTTTCTTTCTTTTTTTTTTTTTTAATATAAAGATTGGCAATTTCTTGAAGAACCACAGTATCCTGATTTGTACAGGATATATTCTTGATGTGACAATGCAAAGTGAACTAAAGTACTGTCCTGCTCTCTTTTAAACACAGCTCTACCATAACAATAAGAGTGTGACATAATCTGAACTGTTTGGTTATAATTCACTTAAAAACTAGCAAACCTCATTGACCCCCTTATCAAACAATTTATTGTGCATTTGCAGACTGGACAATGAAATAGAGGAGGCAAAGTATTAACGGTGACATTATTTGGCAAGCTCATAGTGCAGTTCATTCAAAAGGCAATTTTAAAATTGAATGAAGAGGTTTGACTAGGCAATAAAAACAGCCACAATGCCAGTGAACAGTACTTAGGAGGAAAGCCTCTAATTATCCTATTTATAGATCAACAGCAATTTTACTGATGACTTCTTTGCAAAGTTAAAATAACTTCAAAATATTTTTAAACTAGATCATATGCATTTTATTAAACTATAATTTTAAAATATTGATTGTTTGAAAATGATAAAAACTTGAGAGCAAGAATGAGACAGCATTTCTGAAAAGAAACATTCCTACGATGCTCTGCAACATAATTATAGCACTGCCCTTGGGGAAGGGGATTTTATTTTATAATGAGAATGTTTACACTGTTATGGGGTTCACTCTATCTGGGAGGAAAGGTTAAACTTCTTTCCATTAAAGACAGCCTTATAATGAAAAGCTCTGAAAGGAGAATGGAGTCTAATATAGTAGATGTAATGGCCTATTAAATGATTCACACAAAAAAAATGAATCAAGTTCATTGTATCTTACTGCTGTTTTATGACAAAATTGTTGAAAAATAAAACTACTGTCAAGATAATTGCATATTACATAGGCTATATTACTGTAAGCAGTATTCTTATTGGATGACCTAGAGTCTAATTTTTAGGTACATTAACAGGACATTACATTTTAAATACTTTACATTATTGGAATGTTTTAAAAGAACTCCACTTTTACTCTGTTGGCAAAATCAATTTAGACTTAAAGTCATGCTACAATTGTGCATCATTCTTTTTCAATTAAAATTTTCCATACATCCTTTATGATGTCATTCTTACATTCCTGCAACAGATGCTTGTTTATATACCAATTTACTAAACTGCTGCTGTACTGGTAATACACAAATATAGATGTAACCTCTCTGTCTAGTTTACATTCCCAGATCTCCTCTCAATAAATGTATATTTTCAAAATAATTTGCCTCTTTAACAATAATCTCTAATTACCAAACAATCTCCTCTACTGAATAAACATAAACAAAATGTCTCTATATTTTTAAGAGTGCACAATTAAATACACACTTCTGGAAAGAATGACATCCTTAACATTTTAAGAAGGGGTATTTCCATGAATGAGTTTAAGCACAGTTTAAAAGTGTATTTTAGGAGGCATAACTCCAAAGGAGATCCATTAATTCTGTCCTCTGAGAACCTGAGAAATCTCTAAATTAGCTATATACCATAGCTGTCTATTACCTGGAGCTTGAGCAATATATAACATCATATTCATTTTTAAAGCAATACCACAACAATGTTAACTAATCACATGTATAATTTATCAGCATTGTTATTATGTCTCTGCAAGGTTTCAAAATAGAAGAATCAAAGCCTCATACAGATTAAAATTTTGCTCGCTGAATTAAAGAAATCTATTTGGAGAAAAATATACAAAAATGCATATTGAGTTCAGCTTTGTGGGTGAACACAGTCTAAAAACTACTATACATCAGTACTTAATTTCAGTGAAGTGATGCTGGGATTCTGTTAAAGGAAGCTCTTCATCTTAAAAACATTTATCTCTGAATATATATGTGTGAAATTGTGGCATGGAAACTTTCAAAAGAATCTTGAAGGAAAATTGTCATGTTGGATCAAACACTAAGCAGTATCACCTCTTTTTCAAAAATAATTTTCTGTTACAACTGCAAATATTTTTGTCCCACATATAAACAAATTTACTCTAATTTTACAACCTCATATTTATCAGGGGACTGCCTGTCGTTAGCAAATTTTGCACCCTCAAGTTACTGAAATTATTAAATATTTTGCTTTAAAAGGAAAAATATCTCTATTGAAAAACCTTTAACTGCTTACTATTGCCAATTATGTTTAATATTCATTTAGCCTCCTTCTCTATCTAAGTCAGGCTTTTGTAAAATCTGCACAAGGGAATATTTGTGAGTTTCATATCTTCTCATTTTGCCATCTCTCAGGTGGGCACTGGAGGAAAAGTTGGGATTTTGAGAGAGGGTATCTTGAGGGTTAAGATAAGGCAAGAAAGAGAAAAACAAAATTAATAAATTACTGTAATAAGCATTGCTTTAACCTTTAATATTTAACTGTTAAAGAACAAAAACACAAAAGAAGCTGTAATGATTCAAGCAGGTAAAAAAAAGAAACAAAAATCAGAAATATAAGTGGAGAAAGAAAGCTTTTTCCAACACCTAGTGCTTTGGCAATTGCTTAGCTTTTTCTCTTTCTTCCACAACAGTCCAAAGTTAACTGTATGATTTGGCAGGGCATCAAAAAGGTCCAAAGAAGTACTGGAAAAGGCAGTAGCTGACTTGAGTACAGATGCATTTGGTTGGGTTAGGTTGACATTAGGGAAATCTGATAGGAGCGCTGGAGAAAACCTTCAGGGAACAGCAGAACAGTTCAGAGGGCTCCTGCACTATGGAAATACTCAGCCTCTACCTCTTTCCTCCCCCTAATAAAGCTTGAAGGAAAGGGGAAGGAGGAACTGCGGAAAAGGGAAGGTGGGGAGGAGAGAGGAGAAAAAGGGAAGAGAGGGAAGATCTGCGGGGAAGAGAAGGGAAACAGTTACTGATGGGAATCTGTTCTTGTCATACATCTCCATACCCTCACAAAACAATCTCTCTGAAAGAAGCCGGGGCCATTGTGGCAACATTATCCTTGACTGGGGATTCAGAGGTCCAGAGAAAGCCGGTCACTATCATTTATCAGTATATATTGTTAACACACTTTAGGGGTTATTCAAAGACGGATTTTTTTTTTAAAGACAGATTCTCACTGTTACCCAGGCTGGAGTGCAGTGGTACAATCAGAGCTTACTGAAGCCTTGACTTCTCAGGCTCTGAGAATTCAACCTACCTCAACCTCCTGAGTAGCTGGAAGTAGAGGCTCGCACCATCACGCCTGGTTGATTTTTTAGAAAATGTTTTGTAAAGATGGGGTTTGCCGTGTTGCCTGGACTGGTCTCGAATTCCTAGGCTTAGAATCCCACCCCTCCCTGCCTTGGCCTCCCAAAATGCTGGGATTACAGGCGTGAGTCACTGCACTCAGCCAAAGATGGATTTTTAAGACACAACAAAAGCCCCTTCTGCTGATATTATATTTCTTTATGGAAGATGACGTAGGAAAAGAGTAAACATATAAGGGAGCTAAGTGCTCATGTGGATGCATTCTTAGCCCAGCACATTTGGCTATCAAAAGCCTGATGCCATTCAGAGAAAGGTGGTAAATAAAAAGCAATACTAACACTGTCATTAGGTAAATCAGCAAATATTTCCTCTGAAGAACTGCATTAAAATCAAAATGCTGGGGGGAAGGAGGATATGCCGATTTGTTAACATTTCTAACCATGCTGAATCCTTCTGCTATCTCTACCATTTTCTTGGTTTCAAGGTGGTAGAAAGTAAAGGAGAAGTAGAAAATGGTTGAACATACCCCAAAATTCAAAAGTATGACAATTATATGCACATATACCATAACGCTTAGCCGTGATTGTGTATAACCCTCTTACGTTACAGATGAAGAAAATAAAGCTTAGTAAATTGACCTGCCCATGACGCCACACAGCAAGGAAGTGGCAGAGCAGGGAACCGAACTCAGGTTTCTGGCTCTCAGTCACAGGCTCTGCAGACTGCGCCATCTAACCTTTAGTCACAAAATATTTTTATCTGAATTTTCTATGACATTTATCATCCTTGAGGGGTTATTATCTAAAAGGAATTAAAATACACACATGCACATGCATATGATCACACTCCTTAGATTGGAGAGAGCTATGTTTGCCTTCGGTTTTTATGGAGTTTCTAAGTATGGATTGGCAAAGAAGGTGGGAAATTCTCACTCTCCCTCTGTAGAGGCCAGCAGCTGCCTTACAAAGCAAGCACTAGGTAAAAAGAAGGGTAGAATAATGCCTTAGGCTTGGATCTACAAACAACCTGACTAAATGACAAGAACGGCAAGACCTAGCCCCACAGACCCAATAATAACATGGTCTGCAGACATGGACCCGAAGACTGGTTGCCTATTGGCTTCGTCAGAAAAGGCCACACAGCTTCCACCTTGAAATATCTTGAAATACCTTCTTTGGGGTCTTAAGCCATCATACAAAAAAGGTGTTCTGGCCAACAGTCCCAGCTGAGCCTAGACTTCAGCCATTCCTGCTGAGAGACCAGCCATGTAAGAAGAGCCTCTGAGACTCTCCAGACCTCCTCATCCACCAGCTGAGGACCACTGAGTCACCATCGTCAATGCCACAGGGAAGAGTCACTTGGCCAGTCCTAACCAAATTCCTGACTCACAGAATTCCTGAAGTATAAAAATATAATTAAGAACACTCAATTTTGGAGTAATATGTTATGCAGTTGAATAAAGCCTTAACTTTCTCAGCTGTAAAAATGAAGAAATGTTACTAGAGGAGAATAGAAAGGATTAAATGAAAATGTATGCAGTGATCCATAAAAAAAGAGCTACCAATATAATAATGATGATCCTGAAAGCTTGCTCCAACACTGAAGACATTGTGCCTATCCCAGATGGACATCAGACAGTGGAAGCTACAGTTATGCCATTGTTGAGCTGCGTACTCTGGACAAATCAAGGAACCTCACCTCACCCAGCCTGTTTCTATACAGGCACAAAAGGGAAAATGAACCAAAGGGCTGCTTCTATAGGGACACAAAAGGCAAACTGAGTGAAAAGGCTGATGTTTCTATATGGACACAAAAGGCAAAATGAATGTAAGGGAGAAGCTTATGTGGTATTTCAAACAATTTTCAAACACAAAACAAAACTCATAAGGATACTTTTCAATTTCACATAAAAACATAATTTCTACCTTTGAACATGTGGTCTGCTTGTTATACTTTTATTTTTTACATCTAATAATAATAATACATATGAATAGAGAAATATTTCTCAACTAGAAGAGAATCTCTCGACTGTAAGTAAAACAATTCAAGGGTCAAAATAGAGCAGCGGGAAATTGTGTGAACTAGAGAGAACTTACTCCACCCGAGGGGGTAAACAACCCTGACCTCTAAGCCAACTTACGCCATGTGCCACGAAGACCAGTATTCTTTGATCTTCTAACATTCCTGAGAGTCCAGGAAGGTTCAGCCCATGGGCAACCAGCTGACATATCCAAGATATCATCCAGAAGCTAGCTCTCTTAAGCTATCTTTCTTTTGGTTAGCCATGTGGCCTTAAGCAAATTGTTTAACTATTTTTTGTCTGAGTTTCCTTTCTTGTAAAACTGGGAGGTAAAAGCAATAGTTTTGAAGGCCTTTCCAACACAGAAATTTTCGAATTCCTTTAATTACTCACAGTGGACTTGCAAAATAGACTTATTTTGTAAATGTATATACTTATCAAGTATATACATTTATGCATTATTTTATGAAAATTAAAAAAGTTTGTTTTTATTCCTCCTAAATGTTGGTTGTGACTCACCAAATACAGTTCAAGACTCAGTAATGAATCAGGACCCATGAGTCTTGTCCGCAAAAGTCATCTCCTCAGAATTTACAACTATTCCTCTGGAATTCATCTTTTTAATTGTTCTTCAAACATCTCATGTCTCCCCCAACTAAATGGTAACATGACAGTGACACTGTCTTTCAAAAAATTTGAAGCATTAAATAAGAAAAGCAGACATAAAGTTTTTTCTCATGGTACTGTATTTTCTAGATGGGACATAAGGCTAGTTTATTTGTGGTAGACATGACATTTATATATAGTATTGCTTTCATGTTATTTTTCTTTTCACTAAGCCAATGGAAGCAAAACGTTAGTATGCATTAAACATCACCTAAAACATGTTAAACATTCAGAGTCTCAGGTTCCATCCCAAGAGATTTTGACTCAGTGGGTCCCTGACAGCCTCCAGTTTTAAACAATCTCTTTAGTGAATTTTGATCTGTGTGAACATTGACCACTCTTTGAGTTTCTGCTCTAAAGCATAAAGAGACTGAGAACAGGGGTCAGCAAACTTTTTCAGTAAAGAAGTAGTTTATAAATATTTTAGGCTTGTGAGTCAAACGTTCTCTATTGTAACTACTCGACTCTGCTCTTGTAGTATGAAAGCATTCACAGAAAATAAATGGGTGTGGCTGTGTTTTAATAATGTTACTTACAAAAATAGGTGGCCAGCCCCTGGCTATAGTTTTCTGAACCCTGTCTTAGGACATACACTAAAAATCAGTTTTATTATGTAAGCAGCATAACCAGATTTATTGGTACTGGATGTCTTTTCAAATGGGATGACAAGCAGACTGAAGTCACAACCAGGCTCTTTGAAATTGTGTGCTTTTGTTCGTCAGTAACATCAATAAGAGTGCTAAATGGGAGAGTGGTAGATGTGAGCTTTTATTCTGACCTTCAAGGCTTACCTTAGAGTGTAAGAAAATGAAGAAGCAGCACTTCTCTTCAGAGAATCCAAAAGTAGAATAGCTTATAGCTTAAGTCATATAATTCAACTATACATGCTCTATAAGGGGGGAAATTAAGAACCTTGGCAGTGAGAACACTTCCACCAACCATTTCATCCAATACACCCAACAGATGAGGGGATGTGAACTGGTTTTGCTCCAGGAGGGCTCAGTTCTCCAGTGTTTCTTATTTAGTGATCACTTTAAGTTGGAGCCTAGCACCTGAAGACTCTCTGCAACGCAAACACTCAAAAATTTTGTGTGACATCATTTTTTAACTCAAGACAGCTATATCTTCAGGTGCTCAGAGAAAATAATTTTGAAACTAAAGGAAAACAACTAGCTTTTGAGATGTATTAGATAAAAGGACCTAAAGAAGTCTGCATTTCAGTACCTTCCAATGGGGGTTTTCACAAGTAATTTAATAACATGATATTTCCAACTCAAATTAATTGAGTTGAGAACCTAATTTCCCACATAATTTGTGGCTCTGCTGTACATTATTTATTGACTGAGCATCACATACATTTACAAATGCTGCATAACTCTATATATCTTTGCTAAAAATCATCTCAATAGGCATGTCAGTTTATTGGTTTTCCTGCTGTTAAAAAGGAACTATAGCAGACATGAGGTTAAAGAGCTCTAAGTTCTCTTTGCTTCTTCTGCCACTGGTTAACATTTTGCTCTTAGCATTCTGAGTAGAGGGCAGCCAGGGAGTATGAATGACAGGGTGAGTGGTCATGGAGATGTAACTGGAATTGGATGAGAGCCTACTATGTACCAATAATTTTTAAATGTTTTATTTATTTTTTATGAGATAGGGTCTTACTATGTTGCTCAGGCTGATCTTGAACTCTGGGGCTCAAGTGATCTTCCTGCCTTGGCTTCCCAAAGTGTTGGGATCACAAGTGTGAGACACCATGCCCAGCCTCAATAATTTTACATATGCTATTTCATTCACTGACTTCCAAGGAAAACTCAAAGTTTCCAAACTACTCTGAGGCTCATGTTAAGTCAAGAAATCAGCTGGATAAAATGGCATTTAAAATTTATCCATACATTTCCTTTACTGAAATAATTAGTTATTCAGGTTATCAAACATCAAGACAGAATGGATTCAAACACTGTGGGAACAATCATTCAAATGGTGGAAAAGAAAGAATCCTTCTTCATTCCTCTTTTGTTCCTTTTCTCCTTTTATCTATCCAGACACTATTTCTACGGGACAATTCCCTGATTCCCAGAATCTCCCTAAGTCTGTGCTCTCCAGGAAATACCAGATCACTTTCATTTCTATTTGTTCTAATAAAACAAACCTAATTTGAGACCCTATCATTTAATTCTTTAAGTGACGAGGGTAACCTTATAACATAAAAGCTAGCTCTTTAATAATATCAATAAAATTGATAAAATTTTCCTGAGAATAAATAGGAAAAAAGAGAGAAGTACCAAATTATGAGTATCAGGAATGAAAGTCACTATAACCTCAGATGCAATGCAAACTAAAGGACAGTGAGAAAATACTATGAAAACTTTTCCATAAATGTAATACCTTAAATGAAGTAGATAAATTCCTTGAGAAAAACCAACTCAAAGCTTACTCAGCAAGTAACATTTGAATATCCAATGTTTATTAAAGAAACTTAGTTTGTAGTTAAAAACATTACTAGAAATAAATCATTAGGCCTAGATAGTTTAACTGTTAATTCTATCAAACATTTAAGGAAGAAATAATACCAATTCTATACAAACTCTTCCACAAAACTGAGGAGGAACTCAATTCTATGAGGCCAGTATCACCATGATACCAAAACCAGCAAGGGCACAATGACAACAACAAAAAAAACTACAGGACAATATCTCTGATGAATATAGACACAAAAATCCTCAACAAATACTAGCAAGCTGAATCCAACAGCACATCAGCATACGAAAAAGACAATACACCACAGTCAAGAGTGAATTATACCAAAAATCAAAAAACATGATATATCACATCAACAAAAGATGAAAACTATACAATCATCTCAACAGACATAGAAAAAGCATTTGATAAAATTCAACATCCCTTAATTATAAAAACTCAACAAACTAGGCATAGAAGGGAAATATCTCAAAATAATAAAGGTCATATACAACAAATCCACTGCTCACTTCATAGTGAATAGAGAAAAGCTGAAAGAAAGCCTTTCCTTTAATAACTGGAACAAAATAAGGACGCCCAATTTCTGCATTCTCATTCAACATAGTACTAGTCCTGGAAGTTCCAGCCAGAGCAGTCAGGCAATAGGAAGAAATAAAAGGCATCCAAATCAGAAAAGAATAATTGAAATTGTCCCTCTTTGCTGATACCTTATGTGTAGAAAAACCTACAGACTTTACAAACAAAATAAAACAAAACAAAAACTCTATTAGATACATAAATTCAGTAAAGTTGCAGGATACAAAAATCCACATATAAAAATTAGTAGTGTTCCTTTACACCAAGAATTATCTAGCCAAAGACAAACAAACAAACGAAAAAAATCAAGAAAGAAATCCCATTTATAACAGCTACAAAACAAACAAGCAAACAAATGAATAAAAAACTAAGAATAAATTTAACCATTTAACCAAGGAAGTGAAAGATCTCTACAAAGATAACTACAAAACACTGATGAAAGGGACATGAAGATAAAACAGACAGATGGAAAAACACCCTGTACTCATGGACTGAAAGAATTAATACTGTTAAAATGACCACATTTCCCAAAGCAATCTACATATTAAATGCAATCCCTATCCAAATACCAATGTCATTCTTCACAGAATTAGAAAAAACAATCCTAAAATTCACATGGAACTAAAAAAGAGCCTAAGTAGCCAAAACATTCCTGAGCAAAAAGAACAAAGCTGGTGGCATCACACTATCTGACTTCAATATATATTACAGGTGTATAGTAAACAGAACAGCATGGTATTAGTATAAACATTGGCATATAGATCAATGGAACAGAACTGAGAACCCAGAAATAAAGCCATATATTCATAGCTAACTGATCTTCAACAAAGCTGACAAGAACTTACATTGGGGAAAGAACCTTCTCTTCAATAAATCGGTGCTGGGAAAACTGGATAGCTATAGGCAAAACAATGAAACTGGACTCCTATCTCTCAACATACACAAAAATAAAGACAAAATGGATTAAAGATTTAAATATAAGACCTGAAACAATAAAAATAGTAGAAATAAGACTATGAAAAACTCTCCTGGACATTGGTCAAGGCAAAAATTTA